TCTCTCCTCTTCCCAGTATCTTTAATCATACTTTCATTCTAGCCTTCATGCTAGCCTTTGTGATAGGTATGTGGTTATCTCATAGTTTTAATTTGCATTTCTCTAATGACTATAAAGCACCTTTTTTTGTTGTTATTTATCATCAGTATGTCTGCTTTGATACAGTTTCTAAGTTTTCTGCCCATTTTTTAAAATTGGATTTTTTCCTTATTATTGAGGTTTGAGAGTTTTAAAAATTGTATCTGGATACAAGTCTGTTTTCAGATATGTGCTTTGCAGTTATTTTCTTCCATCTGTGGCTTGTCTTTTAATCTTCTCATCAGTGTCTTTTGAAGAGTAAAGATTTTTAACTGAATTAGGGGCGCCTGGGTGGCTTAGTCGGTTAAGCATCCGACTTTCGCTTGGGTCATGATCTCGCGGTTCATGGGTTCGAGCCCCGCGTTGGGCTCTGTGCTGACTGCCAGCTCAGAGCCTGGAGCCTGTTTCAGTCTGTGACTCCCTCTCTCTCTCTGACCCTCCCCTGCTCACGCTGTCTCTCTCTCTCTCCTAGAAATAAATAAAACATTAAAGAAAAAAATTAAAAAAAAAAAAGGTTTTTAACTGAATTAGATTGAAGTCCAGTTTATCAGTTTTTAAGAATTATCGTCAAGAAAGCTTTACCTATCTGAACTCACAGAAGTTTTCTTCTAGAATGTTTATAGTTTTAGGTTTTACATTCATCTTGTGGAATTAAAGGTTGTTTTACCTTTAAAAATTTAATAAAAATTACTAAAATAACTAAGAAAAACAATATAATCATCTCAAGGTGACACTCTACCTTCTCATTTCAACTTCTATACTCTAAGTAAGTGTTATTTTTGCACTTATTTAGTGTCAGATTTACTTCATTTTTGTGCCTTTTGTTGGTGACTTCACTGTTTCAAACAGCCCCCAAGTGTAGTGGGGAAATACAGTCTAGTGCTCCCTGAATAGAAGAAGGCTGCGATAATATGTTTGTTAGATAAGTTTTGTTCAGGCATAAGTTACAGTGTTGTTGGCCGTTAATTCAGTGTTGTTATATCAATAGTATGTGTTGAACAAGGTATCTTTAAACAGAAACACATAAAACAGTTATGTATCAGTAGGTTGAAAAAATATTGGTCAGTTTCAGTTAATTTTCTATCATTATGAGTCCTAATTTTGGTGCTTGTTCGCATACCTGGCAGTGATAAATTTCACCATTTTGGAAGCTATTTTTGTATTCTTACAGAATATTTTTGAGCTTTGTTCTGACATTTACTTACATTTTCGGGAAACAGATCTCTCCTTTGGGGTCTTGTTTTAAAGATAGGCTAGATGTTACCAGAGCAGAGTTTAGTCTGTAGTTAATTAATCCCCACCACTGAAGCAAGGCCCTTCTGAGTACTCTATCCAGTACCTCATGAATCTTGAGGTTTTCTAGTCTGGCTGGTGGGAGCAATAAACACTGTTTCTGGCTTTTTGTAGCCTAGGGCACTGTTGCCTCTAATCCTCTCAAGCGGTTCTTTCCCCTGTAAAAAGTGGTTTACTCATACATGTACACCCAGTACTCAACTGACTTTCTGAGGAAGACCCTCTACAGGTCTCCAAAATTTTCTTTCTTTGCAGCTGTTTTTGGTTTTTGGTTTTTGGTTTTTGGTTTTTTTTCTCTAATAGGCTCTCCTATGAATTCCAGCTGCTTTGTTTTCCCTATACTCTATCTCTGCCCTCTCAAATTGTAGAGTCAGCTGGGCTCCTCCTAGATTCTTCCCTTCCTGTACTATCTTTTGGAAATTCTTTCAGTGTATTAAGCTGGGACATTCATAGGGCTCAACTCATTCCCACCCATCTTGCCTCAAAGTCACTGTTCTTTTTTTCCTTATAGCCTTGAAAGCTGTCACTACATATATTTTATCCATTTTAAAAAGTTGTTTTAGTTGGAAGGACAAGTCTCTGTTGCTTAAAATTTAATCTTAACGTATACTTCCAGAAATTTTATCACACATGCTAACTTTTTTCTACTCAATATTTTTCTTTAAATCAGCTCAACTTTTTAACTAGATAAATATATTATTCAAAATAATTTATTTAAGTTTATTAGTTTATTTTGAGACAGAAAGCGTGAGCAGGGTAGGGGAAGGGAGAGGGAGAAGAGAGAGAATCCCAAGCAGGCTCCATGCTTTCAGAGCAAAGTCCAACAAGGGGCTTGAACCCATGAACTGTGAGACCATGACTTGAGCCGAAATTAAGAGACTCGGATGTTTAACCCCCTGAGCCACCCAGACACTCTAATAAATATATTATTGGCTCAACAATGTGTTTGGGTAACTTAGAGAAATTTAAAATTTATTAGATGTGAAATTACATGCCACTAGGAGAAATTACAGACCTACTGTGTGCCAGTTAATGTTTTTGTAATACATTAAAACAATACATACCTTAAAAACATGTTTTGCAACCTGTATTTTATATAACATTGTCCTAGAGGGAAGATGGTGGTAGCTGATGCTGGGAAGGTAAGCCAGAATTGGACTCTAGTTTTCCTTGAATGCCAGACTAAGAACTTTTTTTGCCTGGAAATCTGTGTAGCAGTAGTGAGAAGAGTTACCTGTTTATCCTAAGGTTTTAAGAGGAACATACTACTAATAGATTGAGAGATGGCTTAGTGAGGTCACCTGTCCTATTTTTCTGTTCTCTAAAATGTATTTAGTACATGCTTAACTCTTAGGTTCTGTTATTTTACCCGTTTTCTTATGAATTGAATCCATTTTCTTTTTCATTCATAACTAAGAATGACTTAGTTCAGGATTTCATTATTTCTTACCTGCACTGTTGTACATAATCTAAGATTGGGTCAGGGGGCACATGCAGTCCAAACAGCAACTTTCCACTGACCCCTGCATCTTCCACTCTGTATGCTAATTTGTGGGGGTTTCCTTCTAAAGTATAGATCTGGGGCCCTGGGCTCAGTCAGTTGAATGTCCAACTCTTGATTTCAGCTCCAGTCATGGTCCCAGGGTCTTGGGATGAAGCCCTTCATGAGGCTCCATGCTGAGCGTGAAGACTGCTTAGGATTCTCTCCCCCTCTGCCCCTCCTCCTCCCCCTCCCCTCATGCACTCTTTCTCTCATTAATCAATCACGCACAGCTCTGATCGAATTGTTCCTGTTCTAGAGATCCTTTAGGGTCATATCTAAACTCTAGGATGGCACATATATTTACTTCTAGGCAGCTTAAAGTTTCAGGGAATGGACCATTTACATGAGCTATTCGTGTGAATTCTAGCTTAGACTACTCCTGTAGTCTCCTAACTGGTCTCTGCTTCTACACTTGCCCACGTCTGGACTGTTTCCCACCTAGAAGCCAGAACTCCACTATATAAATGTGATGCTGTCATTTGCTCAGAACTCTCCAGTGGCTACCGTGAAAGTTAGATGATATCCAAAATCCTTGCAATGGATCCACAAGGCCCAGTGTGATCTCCCAGAAGTCTCACTGTCTCTTGCTGTGTTCCAGATACATTGTCTTTGATGCCATTACTCACTCTGTCTGTATATCTATCTATCTATCTATCTAATTTTTGGGCCTCTTTTCTCTGACTGTCAATCTCTTTGTAAGAGAATGTATACACCTCCAGAATGGTAATGCCTTTTCAAACCATTATAGACATATTGACTAAAATAGATGGATGACTGTCACAGGAATTTGATAAATATTTGATGAGAGAATAAATGAATGTGAGTGAATGAATGAATGAACGGATGGATGAATATATTTCTCTTCTCTTGGGTTCACCTTCTTGGATATGGTTTTGACTTTAGCTTTGCCATTACATGTTCCATTTTATATTCTATTATGGAGAAGATATAGGTGACTTATTCTCAGGGTTTGTTTCTTTTCTACCATGTATAATGTAAATAATACAAAAATAACTCCTGATTATGCATTAATCTATGACAAATGTTAGCAAAAGCCAAATGTTCTGTGAACTAAAGGAATATTTCAAACATCCGTTCTAAGTTTATTTTATGATTTGACAGTGTAAATAAAATTTGGTTTAGTGATCTAGGTGTTTAAGCCCCTTTTTGTCTAACATTGTGGTGATATTTTAAAAGTTATGTAAGATTTAAGGTAGAAATTATGCATGAGAAATGACAACATCAAAGCTTCCTAAATAGTGCTGCACAAATCTAGATGACGCTATTTGTATTATAATACATATAAATGGTGCTCCCTGGAGATAATGTAGTGCTAAAGAGCACAGCCCAGCCCGTTTGCTTTTCCTTGGTCCCATTTTCTTTGCTTTTCCTCCACTATGCTACTGAGATAACTATTATCCTGAATTTGGTGATTATCATTTTCATGCTTGTTTTAATGTTTTTACTAATTGTGTTTGTCCGTAAACAATAGAGTTGTTTTGCTTTGCACCTCACAATATTTGCCGTAATTTTATTTTTGAAACGTGTCTCTGTGTCCATAGCTAATTCATTTTAAATGTTGTATCATATTCCATTTTAGTAAGTTTTTTTTTCTAAGTTAGAAACTTAGAAGTTTCTTAGAAGTTCTAAGTTAGTTATTTTCTAAGTATTTGGTATAACATAATGCTGCAATAAACATTTTTTATACATGTTTCCTTGTGCTCACGTGCAAGAATTTCTGTAGCTGCATACCAAAGAGGAGATTTCCAGGTTATAGGCCGGGCAACTCTTCAGCTGTAATAAATATTGCCAAATTGCTCTTCAGATTGCTGTAGAAATATGAACACATATCTGCAGTATATGTGTAAATCCCCTTTATTTAACAAGCTCCATATATTTGTTATTACTTGACCTCTTTGCGTTTCTACAGGTAGGAAGTGTATCTCAATCCTACAGTAGCTTTCAAAAATAATATTTTTTCAAGTGATTGATAGTGAATTAATAAAATTATTTTTGCTTTTTACTTTTGCTAAAAGTGTGCATTTTTTATTTTCTCTAATTAATTATGGATTATATATTTTGGTAGCTCTAGTTGAAGAAGTTTATTTTGCACAGAGGGAACGCGATGAAGCTATTATGTCTCGACTGCGGTTAGCCAATGAGGAGAGAGATGAAGCAATTGCACGAGCAAAGCATATGGAAATGTCTCTAAAACTGTATGTATACATTTAAAACTATTTGTGACTTTTGGAGCATTTATAAAATGCATGCATTTTGTGGTGGTTACATATTCAGAAACTTACAGATTCTTAATATGGTACAGTATTAAATTCCATATCCACATAGTCTTGCTGAAACTTTGGACGTGCTGTAGTAGTTTGCATGTCAGGAATAACAGTCAACCCCAAAAAAGAAGAAGAAATACACAGAAATATGTACAACTACTTTCTTTACTTTCATAGTCTGTTGTTGATATCGTCACTGTATCTTCCGTTGTGATGCCTCTTCCCTCTCTTTTTTTTAAAAAATTTTTTTAATGTTTTATTTATTTCTGAGAGACAGAGAGAGGCAGTGTGAGCAGGAAAGGGTCAGAGAGAGAGGACGACACAGAATCCGAAGCAGTCTCCAGGCTCTGAGCTAGCTGTCAGCACAGAGCCCAATGCAGGGCCTCAGACCCACAAACCGTGAGATCATGACCTGAGCCAAAGTTGGACGATTAACCGGCTGAGCCACCCAGGCGCCCCTCTTCCTCTCTATTATTGCTTTCTTGGTTTATTTCACGTGTGGGTTCTTTCACTGCTCTCTGCTTAATATGCTCATTTCTGTTCTTCACTACTTTTTACTTTATTAGGTTTGTCATAAATTTTAATGACACCTGATATAAGGTAGAGCCTGAGAATCTACATTTTTTTTTTAGTGTTAGAGAGAGACAGAAAGAGGGAGACAGAGAAGCCCAAGCAGGCACCACCTTGTCAGGGCAGATACCGATGCAGGGCTCAAACTCACACTCCTTGGCGTGAGATCATGACCTGAGCTGAAATCAAGAGTCAGACGCTTAATCCATTGAGCCACCCAGGTGCTCCTGATAATCTGTATTTTTAACAAGTAGCACAGGTGATTCTGATATAGGTAAATAATGGACCACACTTAGATAAACAATGCTGTAGAAATAAGTAATTCTCCAATTTTAATGTGACTTCAGTCACTTGGGAAATCTTGTTAAAATGCTCATTCTCATTCAGTTAAGTTCGGAATGGAGCTTAAGATTGTTTTTCTTCAAGCTCCCTGATAATGTAAATGATGCTAGTCTAAGGAGTCAGATGTAGGTAAAGGCCCTAGAGTATCTAGAAAGATGTTACTTGCAAGATAGGTATAATGTAGTAATGTAATATTTTATGATGATCCATCAATATACTTATTGAGTGTTTGCTCTGCCCATCATTGTGCTAGAGTCCGTGGAGGATTATAGTAAAGTACTAATTAAAACACTGTTCATTAGGGAGACAAAAAGTCATTAAGTAATTAACATGACAGTGTTCAAGTTGTGATTAGGTAATGTGGTTTGTTTTTCGTTTATTTAATGGCTTCATTTTCTTTTGAAAACTGATAGACTCCTTGTAAGGCATTGAACTTATTGAATAATAGACATAAAGAAACAACAACAACAACAACAACAACAAATCACCTGAGTTCCCCACCGCCTACTCCCAAATAACTATTTTTATTAATAAAGAAACATTATCCCAAACATTTCTCTTTGCTTCTTAGTTATACTTAGTTATATACTTAGTTATTCTTCTTAGTTAAACACTATAATCTACAAGAATGGATGGCTGGTGGTTAAATGGATGGATGCTTAGAATTAATTTGATAAAAATCAAATCATTCTTTACATGCTATTTTATTTGAAAGACCATGTAATCTAGAGGTTAACAGCACAGATTCTAGATCCAGGCTTTTGTATTTGAATCATGGCTCTGTTGCTTTCTAGATGTACAGCCATGGACAAACTACTCAGTCTTTGGGACTCATTTTTTTGTTGACAAAATGGGTAAATATTGGCTACTTTGTATAAGTTGTTATAAGGACTGAATGATTTAGTAAATATTGAAAAGTACCTGGCTCATAGCTAGTGCTATGTGTTACTTGAATTTAGGAGTAATAGTCAATTGAAGCTAAACTAAAGAAATTTTTGAACTTCGTACGAAGTTTTCTTTTAAAAACATTGTTTTAAATGTTTATTTATTGTTTTGAGAGAGAGAGCCCGTGAGCGGGAGAGGGGCAGAGACAGAGGGCGACACAGAATCTGAAATGCTCCAGGCTCCAAGCTGCCAGCACAGAGCCGGATATCCGGCTCAAACCCATGAACTGTGATATCATGACCTAAGCTGAAGTTGGTTGCTTAACTGACTGAACCACTCTGGCACCCCAAAGTTTTCTTATATATTAATTCCCCAAAGATCCTTCAGAATTTAAGAGACTAAAAAACATTAAGGTATTAGAATCATCAATTCTTCTTTTCAATTTTTTGAAACATGTAGTGTTTCATTAAAAACTATGACTTTCAGCTCTGAAATAAATTTTAAACTCCTTTTTCTTTGTCTTTATAAATTCTAGTTTTAAAACATTTATAAAAGCTGTATTAGATTCTGTAGCCAAAGTACCTCCCTCTTATTTAATTTTGATTTTATATTTAAAAGGATTGAATAATCATTGCTGCAACTTTTGTCATTCATGATGTTTTCACACTTGATTTTTTTTGGGGGGGGAATCCCTTGTAACTGAATTTCATTGTCAGTTTTTTGAGGAAGGGCTAATATATACTTTATTCTCAGATTTAGTATGCTTCAGACTGGCTTTGTGTTATCCTTGTATTCAAATTGGTTATGAATAAAACTATTGGGTAATTTTTTTTTATTTTTTACTCTATGCAGTGTAAAAATGTTACTCTATTTTGTGACACTGAGTTTGGCTAAAAAGTCAGGTCCCAGGGTTTTTTTCCTCACTTACTTTTGGTTTGTGTTTTTGTTTTGTTGTTTGTTTGTTTGTTTGTTTCCTGCCTGGATACCTAAAGGATTCTTTGTTCTTGAAGTTGAACTTTCATGATATATGTGTTGATTGTTCTTTAATAACATTTTGGGGACCCACAGCACACCTTTCTAGGGACTATTTGATTCTTCTTTTAGTTCATGGTAATTTTAGATTTGTGAATTTAGATTTGTAGAATACAAATCTTATTTGTATTCTTAAATACAAATCTTATTTGTATTTGTTAGGCTGTTTTAGCGACCCTGGTTATTCTTATAATGAGACATTTTTTGTTTTTATCTTTTATCTATTCAATAATTATTTGTATCCCTCTTTTTTCTCTGTATTCACTGTGATAATCTCAAAATTTTTCTTTATATTAGTAATTCCAGTTGTCACTATTCTTGTTTCTGTGTTTTGTAGTTCATTTATTAAATTTTTACTTGTTATTTTGTTTTTGGTTTTCAACATGTTTCCTTAAGTTTTCAACTTCCCTTTTCATTCACTTTATGTTTTGGAATTTTCTCTGTGAACTTCATTTTATTGAATTCATGTTCTTATAATGTTCTTCTAAAATACCAACTATTGGGGGTACCTAGGTGGCTCTGTTGGTTAGGCATCCCACTCTCGATTTCAGCTCAGGTCATGATTTCATGGTTGTGGGATCAAGCGCCACGTCAGACTCTGTGCTGAGTCAGGAGCCTGCTTGGGATTCTCTGTCTCCCTCTCCCTCTGCCCCTTACCTCTCTCCAAAAAAAAAAAAAAAAAAAAAAAAAAAATTAATTAATTAAAAGAAAGAAAGAAATAATAAAATACCAAGCATTGGCAGGAAGATTTTCTTTCTCTTGATTTATGTTATTTTCTCTATTATGATCTTTTTTTAATGTCCATTTATTTATTTTAAGAAAGAGTGTGAATGCAGGAGGGGCAGAGAGAGAAGAAGGGAGAGAATGCCAAGCAGATTCCACATTGTCTGCACAGAGCTCGATCTTATGAGATCATGACCTGAGCAGAGATCAAAAGTTGGACACTAAACCACCTGAGCTACCTTGGTGCCCCTTATGATCTTTTGTTGTTGTTATTGTGTATTTGTAGCATAATCATAACTGCCATGTCATTTCTCTTCATCTTGCTCATGCATCAATTGTCAAGAACTTTTCTTTATTCTAATATAGTGCAAGTGAATTTTTCTTCATAAACATTTCACATTATTTGAAATCTATTTGCCTTCTCCTCAGAGCTACAGTTTCTTGGCAAGGTATTTCTTTTTGGCCATCTGTCTACATAGTCCTGTGGCAATGGGGTAGGGGGAATAGAGATTGGGATGATCTCCTTGGGGACGTATATCCCTTTTACTGGAGGTTCTGTCCTCTGCTATGGGATTTCGTTTCGTGTCTTGCAGTGCACTAAGGGCTCATTCTACCTGGTCTTGTGCATATTGTGATTCCATGGAGTATTACTTTTAGGCTTTTATTTGTCCCACTGGTGTAGTAGAAAATGGCGGCCCTGTGCCTCTTCCTTCCTTTATATAGATTCTTCAATAACAAAGGCTTCTATTCAGGAAAGATTTTACTTTTCTCTGGTCTATCTAATTAACTCATTGGTCTCTCAGGTTATTTCCAAGCTGTGTGGTATTTGTGGAAAAGTCTCAGGATTTGGTGAGCTCACTGGCTTTTCTCCAATACTTGTTTTCATGTGTAAAAGGAAAAGAGGTGAACTTGACCCAAATCATCATTTCTTTTCTTTTTTTTTAATGTTTTATTTATTTCTAGGAGAGAGAGAGACAGCGTGAGCAGGGGAGGGTCAGAGAGAGAGGGAGTCACAGACTCTGAAACAGGCTCCAGGCTCTGAGCTGGCAGTCAGCACAGAGCCTGACGTGGGGCTCGAACCCACGAACCGCGAGATCATGACCTAAGCGAAAGTCAGACGCTTAACTGACTTAGCCACCCAGGCGCCCCCAAATCATCATTTCTCTACCCTGCTTTTAAAAATTACTTTGTGATAACAGTGCCTGGGTGGCTCAGTCTGTTAGGCATCTGACTCTTGATTTCAGCTCAGGTCATGATCTCATGGTTCATGAGATCGAGCCACATGTTGGGCTCTGAACTGATAGCATGGAGTCTGCTTGGGATTCTCTCTTTCTGCCTCTCAGAAAATAAGTTTTAAAATAAAATCTTTAAAAATTACT